ACGGGAGACGCTGGGAACATCAGGTGCCACAGCGGGGCACAGTGTCCTTAAGCAAGACACTTCACCCACACGGCCTAGTGAGAGAGTGGTGTGTGTGTGACTGTTGGTGCTGCTTCTGTCACTCTGTCCCAGGGCAGCTGTGGCTACAATAGTAATTTAATACCCCGGGGTACAGAGTGAATGAAGAATGCACCAAACTGTAAAGTGACTTTGAGCGTCTGGAAAAGCGTTATATCAAACTAATGCATTATTTTAAAAAGGCAGGGGTGGACTAGTCTGATTCATCAGCTGGTTTTCACTTCATCTGACCTCGCAGCGTTAGAATTCGTTCACTCGACAGTAGGCGGCGACTTTTTTTATTTAACCAATCCCTGGTATTTGGTCGTTATGTACGCCGCTAACGGGGTTAACTGGTATTAAGCTTTTCCCAAGTCCCGTAGGAAGAAGGACAATAACGTCTTTCCCCTTGATAAAATTCACCAAACATTCTCTTTATTCAGGCTTTAAATCCTCGATGTCAGGAATCGTTGCCAACACAGAGTGTCTGGCTCTTTGTTGATTGGCTGGTGCCCGAACTCTCACTTCCGGGGTTTCGTGTATTCTGATTTCTGACCTAGTTGCTGGAGAGAAATGAAATTGAGCGGAGGCACTAGATGGCGCCAAATTGAGTAAATTTTAAATCTGTACTGTCATTGACTAAATTCCATTCTTGTAATTTTAATTTGTTACATTTTAAGTTAGTATTGGACTAAATCCTACAGAAGCCGAGAGGGGTCACAACAAACGCAAACGCCGCAACAAATACAAAAGAGCCACAACAAACCAAAAAAAGCCACAACACAACAAAAAAAGCCACAACGGAAATGACCGCGGGACTCTATTTTAATGCAAACGGCGCAACAAATACAAATGCCACAACGCATTAAAAAGCCACAACACATTAAAAAGCCACAACGGAAGTGACCGCAGGACTCTATTTTCTGATGGACCAATCAAGCAGCAAGTGAAGAAGAAGAACTACAACGTGAAACAAATAATGATAAAACAATAAATGACTTTTACTTACGTTTCCAACTTCTCCGTTCCTTTACTTTTCACGTTGTAGTTCTTCTTCTTCACTTGCCGCTTGATCGGTCCATCGGAAAATAGAGTCCCGCGGTCACTTCCGTTGGAGCTTTTTGATGTGTTGTGGCTTTTTGATGTGTTGTGGCTTTTTAATGTGTTGTGGCATTTGCGTTTGTGCTGTGGCGTTTGTATTTGTTGCGGCGTTTGCATTAAAATAGAGTCCCGTGGTCATTTCCGTTGGGTCTTTTTTGGTTTGTTGTGGCTTTTTGTTGTGTTGTCGCATTTGTATTTGTTGCGGCGATTGCGTTTGTTGTGACCCCTCTCGGCTTCCGTAAAATCCTATTGTCTTGTCAATCGAAAATTGTGTTAAATTGTGTCTTACTTTTTTTACATTTTTAATCATGCAACTGTACTTTTTTTTTTTACTTGAGTACACATTTTCAGTACTCTTTCCACTAAAAGTTACCTGCTGTAGCTTTAACAAGATTCTGACAGATTGCACTGAAGGATTCTTATCTCATTCTAAACTTTGTCCTCCCACGAAATGATAAATCTCCAGAGTTCTGAACTCACCAAACAGGAAAGAGAACGTGATCTACATCCAGATATAAAGCTCCTATATTACACGAAACTGATTCTTGTGAGCTTTAAGAAATGTTAGAGTGTAGTTTTCTCATCAAAAACAGAGCTGGAGTTGTGTTTTGTTTCATTCACATGTTTGAGTAATTCTTTATTATTAGTCTGTCTACATCTCTAAAGCTCCAAATGCTCAGTTCAGCCTTGTGATGTTAACAGATACATTTTATGCAGATGTTCGGAGTAAATTTAAATGTCTACTTACGAATATTTGAGAGCTATTTTTCGGTATCTGTCCAAACTTTCAACATTCAAAGGTTCAGTAGACTGTTCACTTTCACTTTAGGTCTCTGAAACATTGCCATGTGAAAACTTTATTGGACTCAGACTTGGATTTTTATGTCACAAGTTCTCCTCTGGTCTCATTTATTCACATTTTAACAACGAATTCACTTCAGCCTTCACATCGTAAACAACAACAGGAGCGCTCGTGTTGGGGAGAAGACTGAAATCTAAGCCGTTCACCCCACGGAGACACCACGGGGAGGGCATCTGACGCACGGGGACGTTTCAGAACTCGCTTGTTTTAATTGTAGTGCGTGCGTTGCGCTCAGCGCCTGCCCTCCTCCTCCTCCACTCAAGAATGTAAACAGATAACCCCTCCAGACGGCATCGGGCGGGGTCGGGGGATCAGGGGTCGACGGTCACGCGGTCACGACAAGGAAGTGAGTCACCCGCTCCAGCACCCGCTTCAGGTCTGTGGGAAGATGTGCAGTATCAAAGATCAGATAATAATCAATACGAAAACAGGTATAGAAACTAGACACTCATTTGAGCAAGTATCAGTACTAAAAAAGTCACAGGACAGAAATGAACCTTTCCTGAATAAGGCCATAGATGTTCATTTTGTCTTCTTATGCACTTTAACTTTTTGGATTCTTTTTGCAGACAATACAGAAGGGCCCAGTCAAGCAGAAGTAAACAGCAAGGCCAAAAATTCAAGTTAATGTATCTGATATAAAAATGTATTGAACAGATACATATGTACTCTAGTTTATGAAACTGTTGACCTTTTTTCTGTACCATTTTTGGTTGTAAAGTTCCATATGTTTTAAACAGACCATGTATAAAACATGGAACAAAAATTATTTCCCAAATTTCAAAGACCTGCAAATCATGTCAATAAATGGATGTATTTCATCATATCTTGTGTTATTCCATCTTTGAACTGTTGATGAAGGGACATGATTTAAAAAAAAAATTAATATTTAAAATTATAAAAATTTGCTTGGAAGCATATTTTATAGAAATAGTTTCCTTTCATTTTGAAGTAATATTAAAGTATTCAGAAGAAAAAAGCGACAAATTATGTAAAATCATGCACCTTCTACTTGCTTGCACAATTGCACAAAAAATGTAAAGAGGAATCATCAACCAGGAGAGAAGGTCGAGCAAGTTCGTGAAAAACTCTTGCGAAGCCCCAAGAAGTTCGTAAGGAGAACAAGTTTGGAAACTCAGATTCCTCGAATGATGGTTTGTCGTACCAGATTCTCTTAGTTCTGCATAATCAGCCTTCCTCTTTACATTTTTGGTACCAGTTTTTTTTTGCCAGTTGGTGTTTTTCCAAATTTTGCACTGAAGGCTGCAGATTCCAAGACACAATATGACATCTCTTTGGAAGTGAACAGCTTAACCTGAAAACAGAGCAAAAATAAAACATTAAATATAAAATCTTGATCTGGTTCTATACATTCTGTGAAGATCTGAGGTTATTTCATCAAGAACTGCCAAAATTACTGGCCTGCGAAATTATGTCAGACCTTTGAGACGCCCTGTATTATGATTTAATGTTGAAAATGACATTCTATCCTTTAAATAAAGAGTGTTTTTTATGATCATCGTGGGATCAGAATCGGTATCGAGTACATTCCTCAGTATCGAGTCTGAAATGTTTGTATCGTGGCAACACTAGTGTACAGATTTGAGTCCCCATAGTGTGATAAATACCCATTCACACAAACGCACTCACATGGGGAACAGAGGCCCCATTCAGAGCAGGGATTTCCCTCAACACACACATACGCACACACACACTACACACACACACACACACAGTACACACTCACTCTGCTTACATGCACACAGTACTCCGAGTGCACCAGACAAATTCAAATAGTCTGTGTCCCAAAACCTGTCCGACCACTCTGTCCCAGTCTACATCAGGTCACCGGAACTCAAGAGACATTCAGGTGCTTCTAGTAATTTCCGATTAGCACTTTGCAGCTCAGGAAGGAAGTGTCATTTATGTAAGCGCACTGTTGGTAGAAATAAATAAACAACATTTAATTTGCATTGAGAATTAGACTTTCAGACATGTTAGGAACTGTTACTAAATGGCTACTGGTTGGTTACTAAAGTTCCTGTTATAAAAAGAAGACGCATGAATTTTTTAAATATAATGTTAGGAACTGTGTACTTCCTGGTGTATTTAGATAAATGAATTTAAATTGCACGAGGACACTTCTCTAGCTCTCCTGAAGTGCATGGAAACACTGAGTGGCATAGAAATGTGCCACAAGTAGTGTTATCTTCATCTTCATAATAAGTATGTGTGTGATGTTACTGTGAGTGTGTGTACGTGTATGTATGTGCCGTATCTATATGTCCATCATAAGGCTGTGCTGTGTTGGATATATCAGTGAACCTGGCTCATGACTCTGACTCAAAGTGATTCAGACGTTCCATAGACTCTGAAACATTCAAACAAATGCTCCAAAGCATCACAACAATGGAACAAGTACATCCAGTTGAGAGAAAAGCACATCTCTCCTGTCCACAAATGCACAAAGCACTTTCCTTCTGCATGTTTTTCACAAAGCAAACAGTCTGTATTTTCACTAAAATAGGCTGAAGTACGTCTGTCAGCGTCACCATGTTTGTTTTGGTTCGTTTGGGCGCTTTGCCTCTGGCTTCCGCCCAAACCTCACTGCTGCTCTGTGACTGGTGCGCCAACCAGCGGGTGGTCCCGATCGCACCAGCGGGGGCATGCCAACATGGATTCATGTGAGTTTGTGAACTCACAAATACCGTGAGAATCCATCTTACTGCGCACACTTACCCAGCTAACAATGCCAACTATTTAAATTGTCTTGTTGAGGCGATTGAGGCTTTTTGTTGAGTTTTAAGTTGATAACTTTTATACAAATGGATCTCTTTATTTCAACTGTGATATTTCTTTTTTTTCTTTTTTTTCTATTGCTTATTGTGTAATGTTTGAGTTCATGTTCCCTGCTTTAGTTCTGTTCCATGTAAATGTTGGACATGATGTTCATCCATGTTCTGATGTTGTGCCCCCGCAGCTACTCTGAAGAAGGGCCCCACAGCGGCGAGTGTGACCCCGGCCCTCACCTCTGCTCAGCCCCAGGTCTCCTCCATCGACGGGGTGAGCTTCAGCGAGGGAGACCTGCTGCTACAGGTACACACCAGTCCTCACCAACAAGCTCAAACCATGAAATATTTTAAAGTGCATGAGACACGTTTGTGTGTTTTATTTTTTACTCTTACTTAAGATATGATCAATATTAAAGATCCTATAGTAAGAGAAATTGACTCATGCAAAGTTTTAGTCATATTATAATGTTGTTTCCTCCTCAAAAACAGACCTGGAGTTGTGTTTTCTTTCATTCACACATGTTTAAGTAACTCTGTCCAACTCTCCAAAGCTCAAGATGCTCTGTTCTACTTTGTGATGTAATGTAGAGGTAGTTCAAGGCTAACTGCTTTTTCTCACCTTAATTGAACTATTTTGCCGTTCAATCCTTTAGAATGCACATATAGTGTTGCTTTAATTTTTGAATATTTTAGTTTGACTTTTTGTACTGTTGAGATTGTCAATAGAAAGTCTGTAATATCTGTTAGAGAAAGTTTCAATGAGGCTAAAACAATTATTATAACTTCAAAGTTTGGCAAATTCAGCACTCAAATGATCCAAATGAAAATAGTGTCATATAAGCCCTTTCAAAATGATTTTAGTAGTAGCTGGCATAAAATTTAGAGTGAGAAAAGCTGACATACAGGAAATAGGGTTGAGTTCTAAAACAGAATCCCACTATTTATTATCCAGGCTGGTGCCACCTAGTGCCTCCGCTCAATTTAATTTCTCTCCAGAGACTAGATCAGGAATCAAAATACACTAGATGGTTTGCAAAAATCCCAGAAGTGCGAGTCCAGCCAGTCATCGAAGAGTCATACATTCTGTGTTGGCAACGATTCCCAAGGTCGAGGATTTAAAGCCGGAATAAAGAGAATGTTTGGTGAATTTCATCAAGGGGAAAGACGTTATTGCCCTTTTTTCCTGTGGGATTTGGGAAAAGCTTAATATACCAGTTACATCCGTTAGCAGAGCATTACATACGTCACGACCAAATAGCAGCGATTGGTTAAATTAAAAAAGTACCCACCTACTGTCGAGCGAACGAATCCTAATGCTGCGAGGTCGGATGGTTTCTACGAAGTGAATTACTTACATCATCAACAGACCATTTACACCCAAGAAAGGCTTTTTTCTGACAGTTTAAACATTGAAGAAAATAAAGGTGCTTCAACAAGGTGCTTTACCTTTGTTTACATTATAGTTGCTAAGTAAAAGTTCTAGATTTATCTCTACATATGTCATATCTGCTGCCTGTGTCCAACCAGGAAATCAACTTTTAAACATGATCAAAATTACGAAAGTAGGACTTGTAGCAAAAAGCCAAATAACCTGCTTGTTTCTATGATATGCCTGTAATGTTCCACAGTGTGACATTAAACAGCTCTACTTTACATTTATTCAACTACAGGTGGTTTTAAAAATACTTAGAAAAACAGACATTTTGTGAGTGGATTTGCCTCTAAACAGATCTGACCTGCAGCTCACTCTGGTTTGATCTCCATGCACATAGAAAGGTTTAATGCCGTACTGTGGAATATTCCAGACAAAGCAATGGAGAAAAGCATTTGACTGAGCCTCTGCCAGAAAAGTTACACAATGCACCTTTAGCCACACTAGTGAAGTGAGCAGTTGAACCTGTCATGTGTCACTTTCACTTTTCATTCACCACACCTCTGCTCAGCTATGTGGCCTTGTGAAATCTGCGAGACTGACTGCCACGAAAGACATTCTTGTTGGACTGAAGACGTGCGGCCGATCGTTTGGTCGACTGAAACGTGACGAAAACTCTCGACTCTGCTCTGAGTATTTTGGTATCTGATCCAGACTGCACTCAAGAGACTATATCTGCAGAGGAACTTCATGCGAAAACTAAAAAAAACCCGACTATTTATGCAGAAAAAAAAAGTCCCACTGCAACCGACTGTAGAGGGACAGATAATACTCCCTACAACTGTACAACAGCTCACCCCTATTGTAACAGATAATGCTCCCTACACCTGTCCCTTATGTAACGGATAATACTCCCTACAACTGTACAACAACTCACCCTTATGTAACAAATAATACTCCCTACAACTGTACAACAACTGGCCTTATGTAACAGATAATACTCCCTACAACTGTACAACAACTCACCCTTATGTAACAGATAATACTCCCTACAACTGTACAACAACTCACCCTTATGTAACAAATAATACTCCCTACAACTGTACAACATGGCCTTATGTAATGGATAATACTCCCTACAACTGTACAACAACTCACCCTTATCTAACAGATAATACTCCCTACATTTTTCCCTTTATATAACAGATAATACTCCCTACAACTGTACAACTTCAACCTTATCTTTAGCTAAATCACTCACTTATTTCTCATTTTGTCTCCATGGAGATGTTAGAGCTTTGCCAAGAATGTTCCACAGTATGACATTAAACTTGTATCTCTATGGAGCTCAGCAGGTGATGTCATTAGACCAAGTCAGATCTGCGGAAAGGTGAACCAGGTCACAGTGAGAATTCCTGCTTTATGCGATTTGAAGTAATAAAAGACTTGTATTTGAGTAAGTGCAAAACAGATAAGTTTAATGCCATACTGTGGAATATTCCAAGCAGAGCAATAGCATCTCCATAGGCCAACATAATTTCCAGCCTGTTCATATTTTCTGATGAATATATACATTAAACATTAGAGATATGTTCTTTATTTAACTCGGTGCTCTTGTGTTCTCAGGCGCTGAACGGCTTCGTGCTGGTGGTGACGGCGGAGGGATACATCTTCTACACCTCGCCCACCATACAGGACTTCCTGGGGTTCCATCAGGTAAGCACCAAGGAGAACAGACATGGGAGGGCATCTGACGCAATCCACCTGAAACGTTCCAGTTTACAAGCCAGTGCAGCTGACGGCCGATAAAATATTTTTGAGCTGATATATAGGGCAGATTTTGATCATTTCCTCCTAAATTATATGATTTGAAATTGCAACAAACTTATCCCCAACCTTATTTCAGTGCAAGCCCCTCAGAGAGGGCTTTATTTGAGCAGCACTCTTCCATTTATATTTCATATAAAATATCTGTACTGAGGCAAGATACATGAACTGGGTCTGAATAAAACTGATTTTGTCAAATAGAGTGTGAAATTACATTCAAGCTTCTCTCCACGACATGGAAGACATGTAATCCTACATCCCCGACTCCAGGACTGAACCAGGACTGAATCAGGTCTAAACCAGGTCTGAACCAGGTCTAAACCAGGTCTAATCCAGGACTAAACCAGGTCTAAACCAGGTCTGAACCAGGTCTAAACCAGGTCTAAACCAGGTCTGAACCAGGTCTGAACCAGGTCTAAACCAGGTCTGAACCAGGAACCAGGTCTAAACCAGGTCTAATCCAGGACTAAACCAGGTCTAAACCAGGACTAAACCAGGTCTAAACCAGCACTAAACTAGGACTAAACCAGGTCTAAACCAGGACTAAACCAGGTCTAAACCAGGTCTAAACCAGGACTAAACCAGGTCTAAACCAGGTCTAAACCAGGTCTAAACCAGGTCTGAACCAGGTCTAAACCAGCACCAAACCAGGACTAAACCAAGTTTGAACCAGATCTAAAGCAGGTCTAAACCGGTTCTAAACAATTATAATTAATTATAGTTATTATTATTATTGGGTATTATTATCAGTAATGATTTACACAGTTTGTTTCCTGTGTATTGTTTATCCGAGTGTTCAGTTTTGTTCACTGTTCACACACAAGGTGGGGGGCATTTTGGGGGAAAGAAGTTCTGCAGTTTATCATTTAAACAAAAAATGTGACATTTCATGAAAATGTTATCATCTAAAATGGCCGCCCCATATGATTTCATAATATGTCAATTAGATCGGTCAATTTAATCCCTACATAAACTGTGGGTTATTCTTAATATTTTTTCTGATTTATAGAAAGTCTCTGTCTCTTATGTCACTTTTAACTTATAGCCATTTGAAATTAAGATGTCAAAACGTTTGAGGACCAAACCTCTGGTGCCTAAACAGTTCATATTCAGTTTGTAAAGTAAATGAACCTGAGTCTATCTGATGTCCCCAAGAAGCATGACAGTCTAACATGTGTGTGTGTGTGTGTGTGTGTGTGTTGTGCAGTCGGACGTGGTGCACCAGAGTGTGTTTGAACTCATCCACACTGAGGACCGTGCGCTCTTCAGACAACAGCTGCACTTCGCCCTGGACCCCAACACCTCCTCAAGTCAGTCCCACACACACAAGTGTATCACCACAAACACACATGACCTTTATTAAAGCTGCACTTTCCCCGTCAAATCTTGTCACACAGGTTCAGTTGTGATTGTAGCATCTTTTTACAACAGTAACAAGGACACATGCTGTTCATTTAATGCCATACTGGGGAACATTACAAAGTCCTAACATGAAGCATGCAGGTGTTCAGCACAGGGACCAGATCCTGTCTCATCCATCTCGTCCATTCTGCAGTCACACATTTCTGTATATTGTACTTTACATTTCAAGTGTCCTCATGGTGATCCCTCTGTCCCCTCAGATGACCAGAGCTCGGCTGAGGTCAGCACTAACCTGGTGAGCTATGACCCGAAGCTCATTCCTCAGGAGAACACGTCCTTCCTGGAGCGTAACTTCTGTTGCCGCTTCCGCTGCCTCCTGGACAACTCCTCTGGCTTCCTGGTACGGCTCTGTGACTAAAGACTTTGGTTCAGTCAGTCTCAGCCTGGGCTCAGGCTCAGAGATTCTCAGGGGGTCCGCAGGGGTTCTTAGAAACAGGGTACAAGACTAAACTGTGTGGATTTTGATAAAGAGCTGGCAAGTTAAGTCAGGTATTTTATAATGACTGCTGTTCTGTAACATCTTTATTAACCAGAAAACAAATAGTTTTCCTTATAAGACAAGAGTTTCTCTGTAGGAGAAGGAGGACGTGTCCATGAGTAAAATAGGACGTCATGGACTGAGGTGATGTCCAACCACAAACTTAACATCTGATTTTTAGCTTTGTTTTATTTATCAAACAAGAGACAATTACTTTTCAGAAGTGTTTAACCACAAATTGTAGGAAATAATCTGTCATAACATATAATTACCACTGTGTATCTCCACTATAACCTTCTTAACTTTAAACAACTGCAGTCTGTTTTTAACATGTGATATGTTTTCACAAAAAAGAGGAAATTGTACCATGTTCAGATACCACCTGATGGACCCGGAAATTACATCACACTTAACAACTCTATAACTGAGGAGCAATCAGAAGAATGTTAGAATAAACTGTGACCTTAGTGGCAACAACGCTCTAAACCAGCCTGGTCAAAAAGAATTTACACAACATTTATTATTTCACAAAGAAAAAAAATAAATCATGATCTCTTAAATGAAAGTTCTTCATGAGTAAATTAGAACTCAGCAGCACTTTGTTCAAGTTTTTTGTTCAACTTTGACACATATCTGATACATATTTACCACGGGTACTATTCCACCAAACCAAGTATTGAAACTGCAGTGACATCACGCTGTGGGTGTTCTGTATGTGTGTGTATGGTGGAATGTTCACCAGTTGTCACGGTGACTTAATGCACACGTCAGCAAACACTGCCAAAAAGTTTTGAGATTGTCTGAAAATGGAAAGAAAAATACAAAACCACATATTTTCAGTAACACCTCTGCTTTTACAGTCGCCTAATTTTGAGCAAATTGCTATTCCAAAACTCGTAATACTTCACTACTTCTATACTGGTACTTGACTAATATATTTGGAAGTATCTCATGAATTACAAGACAGATTATTTATAAACCAAATGTTATTACTCAGAGAACTAGTTTTTACTTTTACTTGAATTAGGGTGAAGTAAAAGTAAAAAGTATTTACCCGGGACAGTCCCAGTTTTGAGCCCTGTATCCTTTTTCCTAGTGATTTGTCTCAGTTTTATACAACAAATGTCCAAGATGTCCCTATTTTTGACCAATCTGATCCCATAAACTGTCATTTGTTTAGGTAAAATACAAAAAAGCTGCTTAAAAATCACCAAAACACAAAGAAAATATGACTATACTGACTCACATTTGTGCCGAGTGCGTAACAATTTTCCTTAGTTACGCGCTCGTTTCACAATTATTATTACCAAGCACCACAATCTAGGGATGTACCAGTGTTTTATTTTGAAAATCTGGTCAACCTAACTTCAGTACAACAATGCAAATGAATAGAGTATAAGTACTACACAAGTGATAACATCGTGTGTGGTTTAACTGCTTTTGGACTCCATCTAGTGGTGAAGTTTACAACAGCGAGTGGATGGATTAGATTAAAGGTTGTACAGAGGATTTTTGTAAGGGAAGAGAAGTACAGCGACAGTCCATGTGCATGTGTGACACCACCGTCCTCCTCCACAGCTCCTCAGTAGAAACACCTCCTCCCGCCTCTTTACTCTAGAAATCACGCTTTTTTACAGCCAGTGCGCGTTCAGAATTACTGTTGAAGTGACCTGTCTAGAAGTAATTTAGCGACCGATGCGTCAGTTTTTAGACCCTTCGTCTGCTTCACTTGTGCAATCACTGGAAGGAATCTCCAAGAATCACCTCAGTTTGGCTTTGCTCCTTTTCCCCTTCTCTTCTTCTTTCAGCGACCTCAAAAATGGACTTTCTTTTGCGGCGAACTGGTCGTGGATTCTCGTCCGCCATCGCAACAAACTTTGTGCAAACTGCGAGGAAGCTTCAGTTTGAAAAAGCCTCTAAGAACCGTTGCATAAACCTCGTAATCCCCGCACGCCTGCGAGTCAGTTACACTAGGGAGTTTGATTGACAACCTAACAGCCAATAGATAATGAAGGAGCCTCAGTATCTATAGGCGAGTTTCATTGTTGACAAAAGCGCGCGTTGCATGCTGGGAATTGTTTTGGTCGGCGGCAAGAAACACTAATTCAACATGACGGACGGAGTGAGAAAGCACGTAAAGGGTATTGATCCTGGTTATTTATCCACTCTAACGGCAGAGGACCCAAGACCATTTGACCAGAAATTGGTCATAAGCATCGATGGAGCCAAATCACCCTTTTCAACCCCAACAAAAGGTGGACCAAACCAAATTTCTGGTCAGAATCGCCAACTACCTGGACAAATATTCACTTCGGCGATATCCACAATGACTTGGTGGAAACTCCTGGGCCATTCACAGCAGAAAAGATGAAAACCTCCAAGAGTCTCGATGTGTTGTTGAACTTGTTGGAGTCCACGGTTTGTTAGGATCTTCTACGTTTGCTCTGCGGATGTTTGAAAGTCGTTTAATTCACCGTTAGTGGTTCTTTTCACTCAGAATACGAAAAAGACATTTTCCTTCTTCTGTGCTTCTATTTGTGCATCCTGATAATGCAGCAGGAATTTACCATTATCGGGGAGAAATACGCGAGGTTACGCACTGTGTTTGACCACTATCCTGTTTCTTATTTCTTATTTCTTGTAATATTTCCCAGCATGCAACGCAGGCTTTTAATAACAATGACGTCAGCTGAAACTCGCCCATTGACTGATGTTTATCTGGCCTCACTACATCTACAGTTGATAGATTTTGATTCTTTTTTTGGTCATCATAATTACAAGGCTGCTGCGTTTAAACTTTCATTGACAATTTGAAACAAAACAAAAAAAAACAAAAAAATCCCATACAAAAAACACTGAAGTGGTGTGTAACTATTATTTCTACATCTAGACTGAAAACTTGGAATGGGAGTTTATATATTTATTTATTTACTGTGACCAGACGTCCCTATTTACCCGGGACAGTCCCAGTTTTGAGCCCTGTGTCCCCTGTCCCAGCAGATTTATACAAAACCACTGATTTGTCCCACTTTTGTACAAGAAATGTCCAAAGTGTCCCTGTTTTTCACCAATCTGACCTGCCAACAGTAAAGAGAGGCATAAATTGTCATTTTTTTTTGTGAAAAAAAAAAAAAAAAACTGCTCAAAAACACCAAAACACAAAGAAAATGTGACTGTACTGACTCACATGTTAGTCATGAACAGTCTGTGCATAACAATTTTCCTTAGTTACGCACTCGTTTCACAATTTTATTATTACCAACCACAAAAAAATAACACAAAAAAAACCCGGGGATGTCACAGTTTTTTATTTTGAAATTCTGGTCACCCTATTTTAAGATCATGTGAAAAAGTCAAGAAAAAAGCTCCTATGCTGTTTAAATCCTTTTATGTTTTTTCTTGAGTTGTCAGTGTTTGCTTATGTGTGCTTATGTGTCCATGGTAACTGCTGAATTGATTTTGCCATACACATACATGTAGAACACCCTGTGATGCTGCTGCAAAGTAGCAACATATCAAACATTTTCAGGTTAAAATCAAAAGTCAAAAGGTCAGAATTCAAACTGTTTCTTCAGTTTGATTTGACGTACTGTGTTCTGCTCTGGTTCTGATGAAGTGTTTTTGGGCAAAGCCTGTATCCTGAATATAACAAACTAAGTCTTGTTGCAGGCACTGAACTTTGTAGGGCGTCTGAAGTACCTGCATGGGCAGAACCAGCGGGCAGAGGATGGGACCCTGCAGCCCCCTCAGCTGGCCCTGTTTGCTGTGGTCACTCCCCTGCAGCCTCCATCCATCTTGGAGATCCGAACTAAGACCCTGCTGTTCCAGACCAAGCACAAGCTGGACTTCACCCCTCTGGGCATCGACGCCAGGTACCCACCGCCTGCCTACTGTAATGTTCTGCACTCATACTGTTTGCCCACAGCGTACAGTCATTCAAAATGTGTTTTGAGTCAAGTTTGAAATGGTCACTGTACTGTGTGTGTTCTTGTGCAGGGGGGAGGTGATCCTGGGCTACACGGAGATGGAGCTGTGTGCACCGGGCTCTGGGTACCACTTTGTCCACGCAGCAGACATGATGTACTGCGCAGACCAGCACTTGAGGAGTAAGCTTCTGCTCTGCTCACACACACTCATGTTTAGGTCCATCCTTACCTGCAATGTTCTGTCTGTGCAGTGATGAAGACCGGCGTCTCCGGTTTCACCATCTTCCGCCTTCTGACCAAGAACAACTCCTGGATGTGGGTCCAGTCAAATGCCAGGCTGGTGTTTAAAGGAGGCAAACCTGACTTCGTCATCGCCAAGATGAAAGCCCTGACGTACGTGTAGAGTTATATCTCCAGTATGTTGAGTCCCATGCATGTTCTCACCCTCTGTGTGTGCTGCAGGAATGAAGAGGGTGAGGAGCACCTGCGCCTGCGTCGGCTGCAGCTGCCCTTCAGCTGTGCAACAGGGGACGCTCTGCTGTATGACCTGACCCCCAGCGTGGCACCTCCAGACCAATGCTCTGCGCCCAAACAGAGGAAGACAGAGTACACTGTGACCCCCAGCTCCATCCTGGGCAGCATGCTGGGCCAGGACCAGTCCCTGTACTGCCCCCACAGCCCACCCAGCATCAGCTCCATGCACGACGTGGCCTTCAGTGACACCCACGCCACACTGAGCGTGCCTGGAGACCTGTGGCCCCAGGGCTCCAGCGCTGCACCAAGCGTCATGAAGACAGAGTCCAATATGCAGGACATGATGGACACTCTGCAGCAGCTGCTGGGGGACAGCAGCTTGGTGGCCTCTCTGGGCGTGGAGCCAGAGGAACTGAGGAGCTGGGAGAGCACCCTCATGTCCCTGAACATGAACAGCACCGACCTCAACACTGCCCTCAGTAGAGACATCCTGTCCTTTGTGGAGGAGCAGTTTCAGAAGGAGGGCTGCTTCACCTTCCTGGATCATATGGGGGACGTCCCCAGGAGCATGTCCACTTTGGACCTGCACACCCAAAGCCCTGACCAGGAGCTGCTGCAGGACCTGCAGTTACAGCTGGACTGTCTGAGTGACATCCTACCCAAAACAGAGCTCGTGCCCCAGGCGGAGGCGCCGCAGGACACCCCCAGGCTGAGCCACATGGACAACTCTGCTCTGAAGGGAGCAGTGCCTCTGTGCTACAGTTTTGGAGCAGAGAACCAGAACAACCACAGGGCGGTGGAACCAGGCTTCTCTCTGCAGTGCGCTCAGCCCCAGGGCTTTCTGAAACCTTGTGTGAACGATAATAGCAGAATGAGCCAGTCCTCAGCGGAGCAGCTCCAGCCCAGACAGGCAACTCTTCCTCCCCCCCTGCACCACCCTGAACTGGGTGGTGCATACACACAAACTCCCCTAAACCAGGGCTTCAACGGTTCATGTCCTCAGTGGAACTACACTGTGCCTAAACAGACTGTCTCTATGGAGCCCGGAGCATTCAGCAGCATTTCAGACCAAAGATCTAACCCCCATGTGTTAGCCTCATCAGTACAGTGCCCTCCCGAGCACAGACCAGTCTGGCCCCAGGCACAGCCCCACCACAACTCCATCTCCAACGGATACCACCACATGAACCACGGCCTTCAGGACAAGAGCCAGCCCTCCAGCTGCATGTTCTCCAAGCCCTGTGTGAACGGAGTCCGCCTCAACTCAGAGCACCACCCGGAACCCTCCAGACCCTCCTGCCTGTACCAGGAGCACCAGGATGTCCCTGATCCCCCACTGTCCTTCAGCATGGACACTCAGCTTCAACCAGTGCAGCCGTTTCTCTTCGGCCAGCAGACCAAGGTAACACCATGGAGGTTTTAGATTGAAGTGATTTTAAAGAGCACATAGAAACACTCTTGTGTGTTCTGTGGTCACACACTTAAAAAACATCTATAAAATCTGTCATATTCATATTTTTCATACTGTTTTCAGTTTAATCCAAAGATTTAGTCTGCCCTTACAAAAAATGTCAAAACCTGTAAATGCCACGTGGATTTCACATGTACTATAAAAATTAGTCTTAAAATTGAGATACCTTTCATGATAAAAATAAAAACTCACACTTAGGACTCTAAGGACATAAATGTTTTTTCAACAGCACTGATATAAAGATTTTTCAGGGTCTTCTGGGCCAAATTCTCAGGATTTTAACCCCTTACATGTACTGTAAAAACTGGCCCTCAAATCGAGTTATCTGATGGGACAATTTTTATGTTTGGCAGGTTTATGTTTGGCCAAAATTCTAAGTTGAGTTTTTGTGTAATACCAGTTTACAATCAGTTCTGAGGCATCTTTCCCATCGATAATAACAGGCTTAACTTTTAAGAAAACAAGTGAAATTTGTAAATTTAATTTTTTTGTAAAAGATATATTTAAAAATAAAGGCGAATGTCCAGAGTAATTACAAGGCCTCTAAATAATCACTGGTAAGAACTCACATTCAATCATGTGCCAGTGATGGGTGAAACGGTTGAAATGAAACCACACATAAACAGAAGTGTGTTAAGATTTTCATTTTCATTAAAATATTTTAAAATAAATCATTTTCCAGTGAAATCTGAATGCCCTATTATAATGGAAAGGATGTCTCAGAACTGACTGTGACTGATGTTATTCAAAAACACAACAATTCTACAAACTTCAAAATTTGGACAAACAACAATCCACCATTAGCCCTTGTCGTCAGTGTTATGTGTGACAACGGGAAGCCTGAGGGTTCATATAACACGTGTGATTTGCAGTACAGCAAAACAGTAAACAGTAGAGCTCAACAGACAATATCTCTAGGAGTTCTTCAGTTGTTGTTGCTGTTTCACCAGTAGATGGATGATGAATTATTGAAGCGAGAGAAATACTTCAATGTACAATACATGATTATCTCCTGTGTTCCAGATGAACTGTGCTGCCATGGGCACCGGGACCTTCCCTCTGCCCTCTGTGCCCAACGGAGGAACATACTGCTCGGACAACCAGTAGACCTGTCCTCTGTGGACTAAAGACATGAGACCCTCCTCTGTGGACTAAAAGACATGAGACCCTCCTCTGTGGACTAAAGGACATGAGACCCTCCTCTGTGGACTAAAGGACATGAGACCCTCCTCTGGACTAAAAGACATGAGACCCTCCTCTGTGGACTAAAGGACATGAGACCCTCCTCTGTGGACTAAAAGACATGAGACCCTCCTCTGTGGACTAAAGGACATGAGACCCTCCTCTGTGGACTAAAAGACATGAGACCCTCCTCTGGACTAAAAGACATGAGACCCTCCTCTGGACTAAAGGACATGAGACCCTCCTCTGTGGACTAAAGGACATGAGACCCTCCTCTGGACTAAAGGACATTAGACTTTCTCTGGACTAAAGGACATTAGACCCTCCTCTGGACTAAAGGACATGAGACCCTCCTCTGGACTAAAGGACATGAGACCCTCCTCTGGACTAAAGGACATGAGACCCTCCTCTGGACTAAAGGACATTAGACTTTCTCTGGATTAAAGGACATTAGACCCTCCTCTGGACTAAAGGACATGAGACTCTCCTCTGTGGACTAACAGACGTTAGACCTTCTCTGGACTAACAGACGTTAGACCTTCTGTGGACTAACAGACGTTAGACCTTCTCTGGACTAACAGACGTTAGACCTTCTCTGGACTAACAGACGTTAGACCTTCTGTGGACTAACAGACGTTAGACTAACAGACGTTAGACCTCTGGACTAACAGATGTTAGACCTTCTCTGGACTAACAGATGTTAGACCTTCTCTGGACTAATGGACAGACTGTTTAAACTTGATCTCCAGACTCAGACCAAAGCTCGGCCTAGTTTCAGTAGGAGGAACACAGAGAAGGATCCTACACTCTGGACTTTTCTGGACTTCTGAGGACACTTTGGAGGACAGTGTGAAACGCTAAGAGACATTTGAGGAGTGCCTCAGACGAGATTAAACCCTGGATGGAGGATGTTTTGTTGCAGCAGAACTTAAAACGATTTGAAGCCAAAGACTCGCAGCTCTCGTATACCTGAGAGTCGATATCTCAAATACTGAGGGTTCTATACTATGTATTCTTTCATATCTTAAAACTTCTAATAACGCATATGTACATAAACACATGGAATGATCTGTCCTCTGAAGTTTGTGCAAAACTGCAGCAGAGGGCACCAGTTTAAATCGGGCTAAAATGGTAGCTGTTATTGTCAAAGTTGGTTAGAAAATGGATCCTGCTAAAGGTTATGGACTCTTTTGGTTTACCAGCAGATGGTGTCAAATGGTAAAAGAAATGACGCAGTAACACTTTGAAATAAGGTTCATTAGTCAGCTGGTTATAAGTTTACACATGGTAATACGATGTTTAAATACTTATAAACACATATAGGACATATTATGCATTATCTGTATTGTTCTTGGCCATTAAACATGCTCTTGAGTTCTTCTTCTTTGGCATCACGTGTTTAGAACATTTAATGATGCCTGTGTTTATAAAACCTTCTTAACAGCAGCGGTTATGAACCATGGAAAAAAATAAAACTAGCTCTTTAAGCAACATGGCCAGGCATGCTGACATAAGCATGCTGCTTTCATGAATCCAGTTTGACAGCAGAAATGCTCAGAATCATGGACTTACAAACTGCACTAGACACTTGTGGACTTCTACCTGTGCCGTAACTGTCTGAGGAAAACTGAAACAAGTGTGAAGCAAAGTACTGTTCTTTGTCTTTAACGTTAAAACATGAAAAGTAAAAGTACATTTGAATAATGCCATAAAATATTTAACTTATGAACCTTATTTTAAAGCATAACCCACACCTCATGGTTTTGTGTGAGGAAAGAGCATGGTTTTAAGTTCCACAATGTTGATTTGTATAATACAGGACCTGTACATGGACCCACACAGCTGTGCTAACGCAATCAGAGCAGTTTGCTATCAGTGTAACCAACTCATTGTCTCATGTCTCATCTGTAAATATATCGTAGCTTAACCCTATTGGAATTGCTTTACATGGAAAAACATGATTAGAACATGACCACAACTAAAATGTGCCAAATTCCCAAAGTTTGTTTGTTCTATTGGATTTCAGTAATTCCAACACGGTTGAGCATTGTTTTCTTTGAATCTGAAAATGAAAGACATTTTGGTTCAAAAGCTGAGTATTTATAATGTGTTGATGCCTCTGGGCTCCAAGGGAGAGAGTGGAGAAACACGCACAAGTCCCTCTTGAGGGGCTCTGTAGGACCTCACAGGTCTGTAGCTCAGCCTTCTGGGTCTGGGGGACACTGGGCACAGAAAACTTTAGGCTGTCTCAACTCAGCTATGGATGTTATCGTTCATAAAGGGAAATGTATATTGTGCCTTTAAAACAAAGCATTAACACTTAAACACATGATTATATTTTTTTTATATTTGAACCTCTAAGTGCCTATGACAGGTTAGACAACTTTATTTAAACACAGTTGAGTTATTTCAGATTTTTATAAAAAAAAATGTGGAAATGGAAGTGACATCACACTAGAGAATTTCCATAACTTTCGTGTCCCAAAAGAACCCAAAAGAAAATATATTTGACAAGAAAACGCTTTTATTTTGTTTCTAATATGTTTCAGAACTTTCCACTTTTTTTTTTCAACTTTTCTTCACAAATTGCTTCTTGATTGGTGTAAAACTTCATTTATATTTACAACAGATATTATCACCGACTTAAGCAGAAATTACAGAACTGTCAAAGCCTGTCATACGCACTTCAAACCAAAGACGCACTTGCCCAAAGCCAGCAGAGGGCAGTGCCACGCCACCGTACCGCCGCAGATCCTCAGGCACTAACACTAAGAGCTTGGTTGCTACGGAGATTGAGCCGAATGTTTTGGTGCTCTGTTTTAGGCGAAGGTTCTGTGGTGAGCGCGCAGTGGAGTCGCAGTACAATCCGTCCATGCACAGCTCTCACAACAGACCTGTGAAGGCAGCTTTTAGATGACTTTGTGGGCCTGGTTCATTCACACGCTCTTCGGACGGAGAGGGAGAGCAGGTGTGTGGTGCGGAGAGGCTGTCCGGTGAAAATGGTCCAGGCGTGGATTCTTTCTCGATTGGCTCTGAGCCAAAGTCTCTTGGACATTTACACGTGTCAGTAGAAGTTACGCAGATGACATCACAAACTTTGGAACTTTATTAGTGGGTGGCAAAGTTATATAGAGTGTCAGTGGTGAGTAATGAGATTTTCTACTGTGAGAGCTCAAAACGCATCTAAAATGTCAAAGAGCCGCTGCAGTCTAATAACTAATATAAACGTCTACAAGCCACAGAATATTTAGATCTCTACAACAAGAAAACCAAGTAAACAGTAAAAAACAGTGAACAGTCAAACCACAGGGACGCTGCACGCACACATTTATCACTGATACAGAGTTTCGAGTCGAATTAGGCAATGAAAAGAAACACGTTTAGTCTGTTGTGCTGCTCATAGTTCTGCCTCAGTGCCACTCTGTCCGATTTTTTTCAGATAAAATGATGTCAGTGCATAACCTCTACTGATGCAAACTGTAAGCACTTTACTGCAAATGATTTTAAGAGAAGAGTCCAGTTTTGTTGGTGCAAACAGGGACAGGACCACCTCTTGTGCCCCCGGTGGAGGGTTCTCTGAATGAACCAGGCTCAAATATGTTTGTAAATGTAGATATTTGTTAATCAGCAGAGCACTTACCCACCGTCTGTCACTTTCCTCTGGTGCTTTTGTACTGAATGGACTTTAGAGACCGTAACAGGAACCTGACATTCCTCTGAGAGATGCATGTGTACAGTAGAATGCAGAGGACATAGTACTGCAGTAGTACTGCGTAATACTGCATTAGTATTTGTGGGGAGAACCAGAGAAACCCTGAACACACAGAGGGTATGTGCTTTGTATCGTGCAGTGCCTCTTATTCTGATATATGTCTAAGCCTCTGTAGTCATGTGACTCTCATATTTACGCACACATTTTGTACATATGATGTGATCCTTGTATTTAGCCCAGTGTAATAAGTTCTATGGAGCGCTTACTGTTCCCATGTTAAGAGATCCCATGTATCCTAATGTAACTGTCTCATTAAATGTCTTCACCTATGCACCACCACTGTGTCTGTCTCTCTGTCCTCTGTGTCCCACATTCCTCAGGCTCTGGACAGGACACCAGGCCCTGTCCCACCCGGAGAGGCCCGGCAGAGCTGTGATAACTCTGATTTCTCCAGCTCCCCCAACACCATCCAACTGCTGGACTACAGAGGACTGCTGTGGACCGTGACCTGATGGAGTGACGTTTGTGAGAGCTGTGTACAAGGTCATCAAGAAGTCCAGTTCTATCCTGGCTTGTCCTGAGCTGGTTAATTAGAATACATCGTTACCACAAATACAGTGGTATAGTTAATGTGCATGTGCTGCAGGTGCAGGTTTGTGCCTGGAGAGCAGAAGTCAGCGCGTGGAGATCCAGGCCGGGTAATCTGCAGGAGGATTTAACCCATAATCCTGCTCCATCCACATGTGAACATACAGAACGAGAGGCGCGCTCATCCGCACATCCACACACATCTATGCACACATATATACACACATCATACACACATCTATGCACACATCTACACACACATCTATACACCTACACACTGACATACACTTGATTAGACTGGAAATATAGGTTTGTACATGATGTTACTGCATCACACCACAACACAGGGGTGTGACGCACATTCACAACTAAAGAATAACACTATTCCGACTTTTAAATCAAATCACTGAGGGGCTAAATCTATGGACACCTTTTTATAGTTATCAAAATCAATCAATCAATCAAACTTTATTTCTATAGCACCTTCCAACAACCAAAGCCGACCAAAGTGCTGTACAACATTAAAACAAGATAAGAAACTATAAACATCATACAAACAGGTCAACAAAGCACATTACACCATTAAAATAAAGTGTCACAGGGCCACTAACAGGGGAGTAACAGATTACATGTACTGGAGTTACATAATCAGAGTACAAATTATGAGTAATTGTATTCAGTTACAGTTACTGTTTCAGTGAGTGGTAATTGGATTACAGTTACTTTGTTGAAATAAGTGGATTACATGGGGGTATTTTCCTGTTTTCACATTTTGGGCTAAACCAGGACTAAAACCAGGACTAAACCAGGACTAAAAAAGGACTAAACCAGGGCCAATTTGAAGAGAACAAACATGAATTTTCAGGATGTGGTTGATACATTCAAGTAGTTTTAAAAAACATGACAATATCAAGTAATCCTAAATATTCAGATTACGTTACTCACCTTAACTAACTTAATGTATTCCATTACAAACTACATTTTG